CTTCTCCTTTCACTGGTTTTTCTGGCTCTTCTGCCTTCCTCTTGAGTGCTCATTATTATTTTGCACAATCAACAATAACCTCTATTTATAGGTTAGCTGATTAATAGCCATAATTACATCCATAAATTCTTATACAGTAGTACATAGCTTAGTGTTTGCTTGAATAACTAGAGGAAGGGAATCTTGGGGATCTCTTTAAGTTCTTCCTACTTCACTATCAGTGCAACTGACCAAAGGTGACCAGTGGTAACCAAAATTGTTCTGCTAAGGAGTACACTGGAATTAATAAGCATAGGCAATAACTTCTTAAATGAACTCAAATGATTCAGCATTAAGAGAAAGGATTAACAACTGGGACTCATGAAATTAAAAAGCTTTGAGCAACAAATAATGGTCACCAGATTGAAGAGGCAGACCCAGGAAGAAAAAAAATTTTGCCAGCTATACATCTGGGGATTAATAACCAGAATATACAGGGACGCTAAAAACTAAGCTCCCCCTAAAATCAATGACCCAATGAAGAAATGGGCAAATGAACTGAATAGAGTTTTTTTCAAAGGAAGATGTCCAAATAGCCAAAAAACACATGAAGAAATACAACCACTATGAAAGTATGGAGGCGCCTAAAAAACTAAAAATAGAGTTGCCATATGATCCAGCAATACTACTCCTAGGGATATACCTGAAGGAATGTTAGTCACAATAAAGGCACCTGCACACCCATAGTTTTATGCAGCACTATTCACAATAGCCAAGCTATGGAAACAGCCAAGATGCCCACTACTGACGAATGGATCAAGAAAATGTGGTATTTATACACAATGGAATTGAATTCAGCTATAAAGAAGGATGACATTGTTGTGTTCAGGTAAATGGATGGAACTGGGAACATCATCTTAGTGAAGTTAGCCAGGTTCAGAAAGACAAAGGCTGCATGTTTTCTCTCATATAGAGCCAATATTATAAAAACAGGTCATGCTAAGGGAGTCACATATGAGGGAGGAGGGTAAAAGAAAGAAGATAAGAAGGTGAATATGGGAGATTACTTCCTATACAAGAATGAATACAGAATTTTTAACCTGTTGAAATCACAAGAAGGGCAAAGGTGAAGGAGAAAAATAGAGGGTGAACCAGTTCAGGTTATAGCACATATATACATGGAAATGTCACAATGAAACACTTGTATAGCTATCTAATACAAACAAAAATATCTTTTTAATATAATACAGAGAACAGAAGGGCAAAACAGATCCTGTCTGGAGGATTGGTACAGTGTGGTGGGAGATATAAGGAAATGATATAGGAGGTAAATATGGTGGAAATATTGTGTACTCATGTATGAAAATGAAAAATGAGACCTGCTGAAATTATTCCAGGAACAGGGGAGGAAAAGGAGAATGATAGATGAGTGAATTCAACTATGATATATTATAAGAACTTCTGTAAATGTCACAATGTACCTAGTGCAACAATAAAAAAAATTGTTCTAGTATACCATGATTTGTTTATCTGTCATCTCAAAATTATCTTATCCCAAACTGCAAATATTTATTCAATAATTCATTGTTTTAAACATTGTATTTTATGACATGCAAAACTATAAAATATGATCAATGTAACTATATGACTACTAATATGATCAAAAGTGTAACTACTCTATGTTTTACTACTATAGTAACTACATGTAGATGCAGTCAAGTAGATACTTGTGACCTAAAAATGATAGAAAACTCCAGGTGTGGTGATGCACACCTATAATTCCAGCACTTGGGGAGGCCAAGGTAGAAGGACTGTGAGTTTGAGACCAGCCTGAGTTACACAGAACATAGAAGATGGGCAACCATGTTGTCCTTCAAAACAAAGCAAAACAACAAAAGTTATGGAAATTATAGCAAGCTTTCACTCATGAAAGTAATCCTCTCAAGCTAACATTTTGAAGGCAAAAAGAATTTTTTCTGGTCTTTGAATTTCCTGGTTTGGAAAACACACTTGGGATTTATTTCCAAGAAATATTATAATTGCTTAAATAGGGACTCATTGTGATTGTAGTATACCTTCAAACTAGGTGGAAGCAGATGAAACTTCTTCCAAGGACAAGCTGTGAGTGTTTGACAGAGAGAGAACCTTACTCAGAGAGGAACATCTGGTAGTTTATTCAGCAGTCTCATTTGTCACTGGCCTAAGACCTATTCATGTAATGTAGACACAAGCTTTTACATGGATTTAATGACTTTTAAGAACTAGGATAGGTAGTAGAATATTAAAATGTATCAATCAGATAACCCTGCTAACACAGTGAAAAAGAGGTTCAACTTTAAATTAGCCATGCGGGTATAAAATAAACAAAAAGCTCTCCAGGGAATAAACAGAAACATTTAAAACTTCAGGAAACAACTGTACTATTAGATACATTTTATAACGGCCAATTAATTCCAGTCATGGATTTGGAATTCTTTCTGGATGTGTGTCAATAGGTACCTTTGCACTACATATAGAATACAAGTTTTCAAAGAAATTAAGATTGTGAAAATTTTAGGTGGAGCTGATTAGTATTTATCAACTTCAAAATATTCTAAACAACACTTCATGTACCATCCTCTTGAAGAGAATGTAATAGAATGCATGTAACAGGAATGTGTCTCATTTGTTATTCAAAAGGAAGCAGTCAGTAATTATAGTCTATAGTTTCATTATCCACTACAGTTGTCACTAGTTACAAGTGGTGATTTAAATTTACCTTACTTAAAATGATACAACGTCAAACTCTCAGCTCCTTCATCATAATAGGCACATTTCAAGTGCTGGAAGGGAGTCAGATGTGACTGGTAGCTACCATATTGGACAGCGTGGTATTGGACATTTCCCTCACTGTGGAAAGTTCTATTAGGGAGACTGACCTCCAAAGAACTACTGAATAGCAATTAAAGTGCTGATTGTAGTCAAATGGAAATTACTTGAGATAAAATGATCAGTGAGTCGATGCCTACCTACTCAGGAGGCAGAGATCAGGGCGATTGTGGCAAATAGTTCGTAAGACCCTCTCTCGAAAAACCATCACAAAAAAGGGCTGGTGGAGTGGCTCAAGTGTAGACCCTGAGTTCAAGCCCCAGTACCGCAAAAAAAAAAAAAAAAAAAAGTATGTGAAACAGGAACAGGTTATGCAATTTAGACACACACAAACATACATACCATAATTGCAATGAAGTAAAATTGAGGTTATTCCTTCCTTCCTTCATTTTGTTTAGTAGCTACCAAATGCTCGCATTGTCCCGGGCAGAACCAAAGATACATCAGGCCTGCTCCATGATCTCTAGGAGCTTGTCGTCCAATAGGAGGAAGCAGATAAGGAAACGGTATGGGCTCTGCAGTGTTGCAGTGCTCAATAGAAAACCGCTTACAGATCTGTGTGAGGCACAGGAAGCTCCCCACAACCAGAGGCACCAATTTACCCAAGAAAAAGAATCAGGAAAGGCATCCCACAGACAAGCTTGTTTGACCTTACACTTACATCATGAACAGCTGCTTGCTGGATAGCCAAGGAGGAGGAAGGACAAGATGAGTCAGTGACTGATGGGGAACTGGACTGAGAGTTATTTAAGTCCAAGACTTGATTGAGTATGTAATGTTAGAGTTGACTATAAATGATCCATGAGTGCTTTTTCACCTGAATTAAACTGAGCAATGTGAATACAGAAAAACACAAAGTTCTGAGGGAAACAGGATTACAAGTGTGTTAGGAGAGCTGAGGCCCAGTGTGAGAAGTTGCCATGCAATAGAATTTGCACTAAACCTTCAAAAGAAGTGGGAACCACTGGAAGATTTTAAATAGAAATTCAGTAGAAAAATCAGAAGGAAATACAAATAACGGTAGGTTAGGGTTTTTCATGATTATCAGTGATTTTCTTTTTCTTTATATATCTTAAAATTTTCTGTATAGGGGCATATTTGCTTCATTAATATATCTGAAGGATAAAATACAAACAACTGTTTCTACTGGCTTTTCATGGTACACTTGACAAGCTTTGTGGTCACTGTGCATTACTGGTTAACAATAAGACAATCATGTTATTATCTATCAACTGTTGAGTTCTTTTCTTGGACCAGGCACAGTTCTAAGTACTTTACATGCATTAATTAATTACGGCCAGGCTGACCTGGGTAAAAAGTGAGACCCTGTCTAAAAAATAATCAGAGGAAAAAGGACTGGAGGCATGACTTAAGTGGTAGAGTACCTGCCCAGCAAGAGTGAAGCTCTGAGTTCAAACCCCAGTACCACCACCAAAAAAAAAAAAGTATTAAAACATTAAGCTGAGCATGGTGGCAAACACTTGTAATCCTAGCAGTAGAGATAAGAGATTCAAAGTTTGAGGCCAGCCTGGGCTGTACTGAGACCCTGTCTCAATCTCTCTCTCAGACACATACACACAGTTACAGGAAATCTATTCTTACCTGTAAGGCAAGTAAGATGCTGCCTAATGTATACCTTTTATCCACTTATCAGGGTCATCCAAAAAGTCTATGCAGGGTTGACCAGAAGATGGGTCTACTGTATTAAAATAACATATAGACATTGGATATAATAAAATTATTATTTAAAACCATCAAACATATTATTTGACATATATATATACAAAATTATTAAAACTTATAAACATTAAGTGAATATACCAGGAAAAAATACTACCTCTACTCTTCTTCTCTTCTCTCTAATGAGAAATACTGTGCCAGTACTCACTATGTTGTTTTAGCTGATTATATAGGTGTCCAGGCTGTAATTTTGTGTTATAAATTTCAACAATAAGTTTTAATTACAAAAGTGATAATGTACTTGGGTAAAAAGTATGGAAAAGAACATAAAAGGAAACACGATGTCCTCCAGCCTACCAGTTCCCCTCATCAGAGTTGGTACAGTTGGTCTGTACACATATCCATGTGCACTCATGTGCTTATTACATTTTGTTATCCAAAGTGTTTTTTCATTTGACAATAAATTGTCAACATGCCTCCAGACATAAATATTTATCCAAAAGAAATTTGCGCACCAAGTATGTGTCAAGCAATGAAGATCCAAGGGATATAGCAATGACCAGAAAGTATAGCTGTCACAGATTTTCCTTATTCTATTTAAAAGCAATAGGTATCATGTGGGATATTTTACCCAAAAATTCCTATACTGGTGAACAGTGAGAACACAGTAGTCCTCCACATCGTGGGTTCCTCATGTGTGGATATGATCAACTGTGGTTGAATTCAGAAAAAAAATTGCATCTGTACTGAATTGTACACACTTGTCATTATTCCATAAATAATAGTGTATCAACTATTTACACAGCATTTGTATTGTACTAAGTATTATAAGTAATCTAAAGATGATTTAAAGTATTCGGGAGAATGTGCAGAGGGAATATGCAAATGCCACATCACTGTATGTAAGAAACTTGAGCATCTTTGGATTCTGGTATCCAAAGGGGGTCCTGGAACCAGCTTCCCATGACCACTGAAAGACAACTGTATTTCCATTTTCCCTATTTCCAACATTGCTACTTCAATATAACATGTACTTGTGCTAGAATATTTATAGATTAATTTATAAACATGGCATTTTAGGGACTTAGGGGTACATGCATTTTTATGTCTGAAAAGAAACTGTCAAATGGCTTCCTCCAAAGCTCGTTATTATGTCAGAGGAATAATGTCTGCCCGCCCCTACAAACACTGAATGTTATATTCTTTTAACTGTTCTTTTATTTTGTAAACAGAAGTGACAAACCACAATATTTTTGTTTTAATTTGCATCGATTTTCTTGCTAATGAGATTGAACATGTTTTTAATGTTTATTTTCTTATGTTTCTTCTATCCAGTGTTTATTTGTAGACTTTGTCCATTTTTTCTATTACTTTGTTTCTTTTTCTTACTGGCTCTTTATATGGTATAGATATTCTGTCATATGCACTGTAAATATTTTCCCTCAGCTTGCAAAAGCCAATTTCATTTTATTATTTTGCTTACAATGCCCTTGACTACAGAGGGTTTTAAAAGTTTATGTAGTTTAAGACGTTGTGCTTTTCCAACAGTTTCTGGGTTTTATTGTACTTAGAAAGGTCTTCCTTACCAAGTAAATAAAATTATATTAGATTGCCTTGTTTCTTGACATTTAATTTTTTTTTATTTTTGATCCTTCAGGAAATCACTTTGTGAGTAACTTGGTGCAACAATCTAACTTACTTTTTTCTACAGTGTTAATTGTCCAGTGTGTCACTTTTATAATAATGAAAAAATTAGATCCAGCTAAATATTGAACAATACAGGAATAACTAAGTGTAGTACTGAGTCATTTTAAATGATTTTTTCAAAGAATGTTTAATAATTCAGGAAAAGACTCATGTAATTTTAAATAAAAAAACTAGATGCAAAACTTTATATATAATACCTTAACTATGCAGAAAAATATACATAGAAAAATAATGTTGGCAAAATGTTGAAAGCAGTATCTCTTTGCATTAGGCTTCAAGGTGATTATCAACTTTTTCTGTCATTTCATATTTTCCTCAATGAGCATGCTTATTTTCAAAATCATAATCGAGTTGTTAAAAAGAAATACGATTATTAAATACTAATAAAATGAACAATGATTATAGAGAAGAAGTCACAATGACAAAAATCTTACTTATTTTAGTTCTTACCATTTGGATGAAAAGGAACTACTGTAAATTTCACAACTGGAGGGACACGGTTGTACTCTGGTGTAAAATTTATTGTCAGTTGTAAAACCGATCCTATGATACAGAAATAAACAGTTTTACTAAGGTGCCATGTTCTGTTGATTAGCTCTAATCTGATTAATGTTGGAATTTTCGTTATAGTTAAACCTCCCCATGGTTTTCTTAAGTAAATTACTTCATAGGGCATAGACTCACCCCGGATTGTAGAACAGATTCTTTAACAACCTATTTACACTAGTTTTCAACCCCTTTCCTCCCAGTTCTTTGCATCCACTACCCCATCCCCCAAAAGCGCCTCCTCCTGCTGTATATCTCGTATTGACTGAACTTACTCTTCCCAGAACCTGCTGCACCCTACTTTAAAAAATGATTTTATTAGCATATAATAGTTGTACAAGGGGATACATTGTGATATTTACATATGTGTTTAAAATATATCTTAGTTGGATTTACACCCTCCATTGTTCCCCCTCTTCCTCTCCCTCATGTCTTAGAACAATTTCAACAGGTTTCATTTTTCTATTTTCACATATGGATACAAAATACATCCACCATATTCACACACATTTCTTGTTTCCTTGTGCCCACCTCCTCCCACTGGTACCCTCCCGTGAAAAAGATTAATTTTTCCCTCTTGTCCTTCATTTAAAAAAAAGTTAAGTGTATACTGATAGTTCAGGGAGGGTTTGCCTTGGTACTTCAGATCTGTATATATTGTACTTTTATCAAATTAGCCCCTCCCCTCTGTTACTTACTCATTCTCTCTCCCCATGCTTCCCTAATATTCAACAGCTTACTGCATAGTGCATTCTATTATATTCATATGTATATGGGTTGTTTCGATATTTTTCATCTCTAATTTTTTCTTTCTCTCCCCACCTCTCATACCTCCCCCAGATGGACTCAGTAATAAAACTTTGTTATTTCTGTCTGCACCCTTTCTTATTGGTGAATATGATTTCCTTCTCTTGAACCTGCAAACTCTTGCATGTTCTTCAGGATTCAACTCAAGTGTCACTTCCTTGGAAATCCCTTCCCAAGGCCTGCAGTCATAACTAACTACTCCTCCCTCTTCAGCATTCTTTTCAAAATCTGTAGGAGAACTTATTCTATTTTCTTGTATTTGTCAGCTACATCTCCTCTATTCACAATGAATCTGTCTTCTTAATCAATGACCAAAATAACACATGGTCATTAAAGTTTATAGTGGTCCAGTTTTCTTGAAAACTTGGCATCTGGCAATTTTGGGGGGAAGCTATAGAGGGGAAAATGAGACATAACTGTAGGATTTTGAAGTCAGTAAGAATTTTGATAGGTATTTTCTCATCTCATGGGAGACTATTATATTAGAAGATATCCTCAATTGATATGCTTCACTAGTTTGGTTCTTAAAAATGTAATAACAAGCTGGATGCAGAGTTTCATGCCTATAATCTCAGCTACTTGGGAGGCAGAGATCAGATGGATCAAGGTTCTAGGTCAGCCCAGGCAACGAGTTTGCAAGTGCCCATCTCAACAAATGGCTGGGCATGGTGGTGTGTGCATATCATCCTAGCTATGAGGGGAAAGCACAAATAAGAGCATCACAGTTCATGCCAGTCAGAAATTAAGTGAGATCCTATCTCAAAAATAACCAAAGAAACAAAGGGTTGGTGGCGTGGCTTAAGTAGTAGCAGCATGCCTGCCTAGCAAGTGCAAGACCCTGAGTTCAAACACCCCCAGTACTGTTACATAAATAAAAGTAATAACATTTGGGCCAGGGGGGCAGTTCAGTGGTAGAGCACTTGCTTAGCATGTGTGAGGTCTTGGGTTTGGTTCTCAGCACCACACACACACACAAAGTAATAACATTGAGATTTGGCATAAAGGGAAACAGAAACCTAGAATTTCAATTTATGTTGACAAATGACAAAAAAGCCATATAATGAAAATTAGCACTTTCTAGGAATTGATATAATGTAACCTTATGCAGGTAAGAATACCAGTAAATTATAAAATGCAGCAATTATGTATATCTATGTAAAAGGAGGACAGGCTATAAATAGTATAAAACTTTTTAAGAACAGATAGGTTTGGAAACACAAACCATGCCAGATTGAGTTCTGTAGACCTTTAATTTCGGCTTTCCATTTCATCTTATCTTCACTTACAGGAACGGCCTTAATTCCCTTTAATTTAAAAACAAAATCCAAATAGACAAAAAGATTATTTATTGAAGTTTTGAAAATCAGATACCAGGTCACATTGAATTTCAAGAAGCCTAATTTTTTTCTTAATAAGTTTATTTATCTGTTGATCTGAGGAAGTGTTCTATGTCTTATTGCATAGAAGTTAAGGTACATTCCAGGAAACACAGGCAACAGTAAATTGAAAACCAACTGTAAGCGTGGGAACCACATTGAGACTAGAAGGTCAAGATTGGGATGTGTCTGTGTAGGTCAGTAGCCAATTTAAGATTCAAGTTAGAAAAGAAGGAAACAATTGCTGGTGGAGTGGCTCAAGTGGTAGAGTGCTTGCTTAGTAAGTGTGCAGCCCGGAGCTCAAATCCCACTACCACCAAAAAGAGAAGGAAATAATTGGAAAGCACATGTTTTTCAAAACTTTTTAAAGCTATTTTGATGTAAGGCATGAAGTAGGAACATTTTCACTAAGAAAAAACATCCCAAATGACTCTTGTATATAAAAATAAACTTTTCTTACACTTGAAGTATTATTCCAATGGACAGACAAGAATGCATGCCATAGAAAACCTTACCAATTATGCTGAGTACACTTAAATACAGTCATGTCTCAGCAAAGAGTTATTTAGCATGTTAGGTGCTTGTCTGTACGAACATTGCATCTGCCTTATGTACAAGACCTATATTTGTATATCTCTCCAGACAACTGCAAAAAGAATGAGCAGAAACATTACCAAATATTAGGTTCATGCATCTGGGATGTTTGTGGATGAACTGAATAACTGTTCCTAACATCTCCAGTGAGGGCTTTTCTTTTTCCTCACACTTTTACAGGGGTGAAAACAGAATACTACCACTGAGCCGTAACTGGCAGTGCCACTGTTGGTAGCACTCTGTGCCTCCTTCGATGGATGGCTTTCTTCCTATACTTTTCCTAAGCACTGCCTCTTACCCCCTCATCCATCCTTCATTCTCCATAAATCAGCCTGTGGCACCATGAACACCCATAACTTCACTGGCAGCATTGGGACAAAGGGTGTTGCCTTCCTCTGTGTTAAAAAAATTTTTTTTGGGGGGGGAAGGCATTTATGTGTTGTCCCTGTAAAAGGTACTAGACGGTAAGTAGAAGGAGACAAGAATTAAGAGCAAAGGGTTTAGAGTCTGGAAACTCTGCAATGGAATCCTGGGGTCAAGCCTTTTTTGAGTCTTTCTGAGCATTAGGTTTCTGGCAAGTAAAATGAAATGCTTAGTTTATAGTATTGTAATGAATGAGTGTAACCCTGAACCTACTGGACATTTACTATGTGATAGACCCTGATACTTGGGCCTTAAATTCACAAGAAGTTACTCAGCACAATGTACTTCGTGTTGTTAGCCATTACTATGAACTCATAGCGATTATGAAATTATAGCAATTATTATGAAATCATAGCAATTATTATTATGAAATCCATTCATTAAATAATAACACTGTAGCGGCAAATCAGGTTTCCTCAAATGATTTCTAAACACGGATTTAAACTGCCTCTTTAAAATCATCACTTAATGAAACAACTCTCTCCATGGCCCCAGTACTTGCCTCATAGTTACTGTACTTCAGCTCCCGGAAGTCTCTTTGCAGCAAGATGTAAGCTCTGCTGTGCATGACGAAGCAGCAGAGGGTCTGTCACGTGTCCCCAGACTCCTCAGGTATACTCTGGGCCTCTCATCTAAGATTTTCAGTCACCCTCCCGCCCTTAGTTGACTGACAAAAGTTACTTGCTTTCTAGTATTCCAGAATGCTTCCAAGATAAATGGCTTCCAGGTTTGGGAGGTAACAGTGACTTTCTTTTCCTCCGTGGAGTCCTCTAATCGAGAACTTCCAGAAGGAAAATCGGAATCTTTCTCATCTGTGGCGTGTCCCTGCAGTGCCAGCCCACACTCCCCAAATAAACCTCGTGTTGTCGCACGAGGAGAGGGAGTGAGAGGTGTAAGCCAAGGCAGCCGTAGCAAGAGCTGGGTGCGGCTGCACAGGTGTAAAGCGCGGTCCCCTTCGCAGGAGAGAGCAAATCGGTTGCCGAGCAACAAGCCTCAGTAGTGAAGCAGAGAGAAGGTGGGAGGGCCCACCTCTCATCCAATCAGCGACGGGGTGCAGGCCTCTAGATACTGCCTCAGCCAATCGATGTACAGTCTCACCTTGACAGACCAATGGAGTCAGTGTTCAAGGCAGCACCACAACTGCTCGGTCCACCGAAGTGGACTCCGCAGGTCCCAGAATATAAGTCACAGAAACCTTCACACCAAGTGCTTCTCCAAAATGTTTACTTTTTCTTTGACTTTCAGGGACTTTCTGGTAATGAGTGACCAGTAGGTACCCAAATGCCTGGTTACCACCCAACTGTCCTGTTCAAAAGACTTTGCAAGCTCAAATGCCTAAAAAAAAAAAAAAAAAAAAAAAAAAAAAAAAAAATATTAACCTTCCTCCCGACTAGCTTTGTATCCCAGGTTTCCAGACTGGAAACCTGAAGTTATCTCCGACTCCTCTTCATGGCTTACCTTCAGTCACTCATCAAGACAGGCTGCTTTTATAACTTCTCAAGCTTACCACCAATACTCAGGTTCACAACTCTGTCAGCACTTGCCTAGCTACTGAACGTCTTTGTACTGTATTTCCTGCCTCCAGACTTGTCTGTTGTAGTAATGTGTTTAAACTAATACGTGATCACGTAACTCTGTTTAAAATACTTCTAGGGACGCCCTTCACCTTCCCAGCTTATCCTCTCCGTCTTCAGCTTTTTAAATGTAGGCTGAGTTTTAGGGTATGTGGGTAGAGTGACTTTTGACATAAATCATGGGCAATTTCTGTCTGTACGTCTGTCTGTCTGAGGATGTGTGCTCATGGACTCTTTCTTTTTTTGTAGAACTGAGTCCATGGAATTTAATTAATTTTAATAGTATGTGACCACAAAAAGCTTAAGAAACTACACATCATGGAGGTAAACCCAAGCTTTCTTAGCATGTCAAGGTAGAGCTTTCCATAGTGTTGTTTTTTTCCACCCCTTTATTGATGCTCACTTGGCTTCTGACTCAGGTAACCACACCATTAAACTGCTCATCTTTTCCCTATGTATACCATCTTGGCTGGCTCCAACCATCTTTTCTACCAGAACTTCCTTCCTTTTTTTTTTTAAATTGGCAGTACTGGGGACTGAATCCAGGGCCTTGTGCTTGCTAGGCAAGTGCTCTACCACTCGAGCCACACCCCCACAACTTTTGCTTTTAGTTTTATTTATTTCAGATAGGGTCTTGCTAACTTTGCCCTGGCTAACTTTTGCAACTTATGAATATATTTAGAGTACTCTGAATGTTGCTCAAAAATACTTACCAACTATTAAATAATTGTTTGACTTTAGCACTTTTGTACCTTCAAGTGGAGAGTGGATTTAAGTAAGTCCCTATTGCCTTTTGGGGTTTTGCTTACAGTCTTTTCTCCTAAACACAGGCCTACTGGTTTGAAAAGAGAAATGTTGCATTGTATTTTTGTGATAGACAGACAGAATTCTGAAATAGACTCCAGGGTCTCTAATTCCTGTATAATCCTCAGGACTCTGAATATGATGGATTTGGTTCCAGTGATTCAGTTGTATAGCACATTTGCCTTTGAGAAAAGGAGATTTTCTGGAGAGCGAGCCTTACCTAGATCAGGTAAGCCTTTGAAAGGTACTGGGCTCTTCTGAAAGTCAGTGATTCAAAGTGTGTGAAGGATCCTGGTGAGGAGACGTCTCTGTTGATAACTTTGAAAATGGAAGAGTCCAGGTGGCAAGGAATGTAGGCAGCCTGTAGTTGCTGAGAGGAGCTACTGGCTGACTGACCAGAGAATCAGAGCCTCAGTCTCACAATTGCAAGAGACTGAGTTCTGCCACAACCACATGAGCTTCGAAGAAGACCAGAATTCCAGATCAAAGCAATCCTTGTGAGCCTCTGAGCAGAGAATCTTGTCAAGTCTGGATCAGACTATCAGGCCTTTGGACTCATAAATGGATATTGTTTTAAGATACTAAGTTGGTGGTACAGGCATCTGAAATGCTTGGTACCAACAATGGTTCAGTTTGGATTTTTTAATGATTTTTGGTTATTTATGTCAACTCTAATGATTGAGCAGCCCTACTCCAAAACTCTGAAATCCAAAATCTGAAACCATTTGAGCTTCATGTTGATGCTCAAAAAGTTTCAAATTTGAGAACATTTCAGATTTTAGATTTTGGATTAGGGATGTTGAATATGTATTTTGTCATGCAGTAAAAGATAGCTAATACCACTTCTTATCCAGAATGCATAGCTACTGACCAAGACAAGTGATATGGCAGAAGGCTGGTCACTTCCTGAGCTGGGCTCACCCTGATTTAGTGGGAAAAGAACTTGAAACTAGTTATAGATATTAACATATGACTTTAGAAGTGGTAGGGGAATAAGTGTGAGTATCCAGTCTTTAACATTAAGGACCAAACTAAGACTCACATACAGATTTTCCTCATCCTGGGTGAGCAAGGCAATGATGGACAGTGTAATTATCTGACATTTGCAGTGTTCCTGAGGCTGCCTCCAGCTTTCAAACCAGGCTTCCCTTCCCACTCTTTTAAAAAATAATTCTTTCCCTCAGGACTCCAACAGATGTTTTCATTTTCCTTAAGCTAAAAGACTGTTTTCCTCATCCACCAGGAATATGTACCAGTACAAAGTGTTAACCTCCTTTGGGTTTGAACTCCCATCCTCCACAGCAAAAGAAGGTGGAGGCTTGCCAAATGTCAGCTCAGCTGTGAGAAGTGTTTTGAATCATATTTTGACATACGTTATGCTGTTAACTAGAAAATGAAGTGCAGCACTAGTTACTCTGGTTTCAAATCATATGATCTCTTCTTTCTCTTGAAGATCTTTTGATGTCTGCCCCCAATATTGAATTTCTCTGCTTTTAATAATCTTATATTCCTTCCTCAATATAAATGTCATGAAAAATACGGAATCCTAATCTTCAAAGATCAAACAGGAAGAAAGTGGTCGACAGCTTAGTTCAGTGACTTGAATTCCTGAAATTTCTCATGGAACAATTTTATTTTTGCTTAGAAAACCTCAACTCAAGAAATGCATGGCTTCTCTTTTTAAACTTGAAGTTGTATGTATCCCTAGATTTCAAAATTATATTAGCTACAAAATAAGTCTCTCCCTTTAAGGCGCCTGAGATTAAGGATCTCTTAATCACTATTTATATTGATACTTGTGCCTAAGCAACAGAGAATAACTCAGAATCATACTGGCTTTTATTTTACTATCTTTGGTTTAGCTATGGTGACCAACAGTTCTGGTGTGCTTGGGACAAAGGACTTTTCAGTGCTAAAACTGGGACAGGCCCTTGCAAACAGGCACAGTTTGTCACTCTAGCTTGGCCATCAAGGACCTTTTTAAAGAGTGGGACTTGTGAAACAACATGGAAAAATCTATTTACTTGGTTTGGAGTTTGGTTGTTAAAAGCACCCAATTAGTTTTCAGTGGCAGGCTGGTACCCATCCCCTTCTCCCTCATCAAAGTTATGAAAAGCCATGCTCAGAATCATATTAGGAGAAGATTCTAGAGGTGTCTGTGATGAAGGAATGCAGCATCTGCCTGCGAACTTTACATGTGCAGTGTTTTAGGAGAAGCTGGTCTCCTTTCATTTCCCCACAGGAAAACACCATCCATTGAGAGATACTGATTGTATCTCTACAATCTGAGATTGTAACATCTAAGCCCAGTTGTGGCTATTAAGCGTATGTGGATGGGTGTTTAAAAGGTGTAATTATTCTAGCCTTCCTTCACACATCTCAGTTTAATATACCTTTTCATTGTGCTTTTGGTTGCCAGTGGGAGTTCCACAAATTTGATGTGGGAGAGGCTTTGAGGTGGCAATGACATATGGTTTGGGGATGGCTTAGGGATGTCTTGAAGCTGTTTTTACTTAGTCTGTGTTTATTAGGGGTGGTTTGAAGGGAGATGATGGAAACTATTGAGGGGCTAAGCATACCCCCACCTCTTTGGCACCAGTACTCTGTGTTCTCTGTTAAGGGCATAGACATGAATAATTAAACAGAATATTTTGGGCTCTATTTACCACACTGGAAAATAATGTATCTCTTTATAAAAATTGTTTAAAACACATCGAATGTTAATACTTTTTGAGTAACTACTATGTGCCAGATATTTCTTATATATTTATATACATATTTTCACTAAATTCTCATGTCAATTCTGAAAGATTGATGTTATAGAAACACCATAAAATTGTGTAAACTAGTTTTTCTGAGAACTTTGTGTCCAGTGCTTATCTCAGCAGTTAACATGAATTAGCTCATTTAAATCTTCTAACAATTCTATAAAATAGATTCTTGATCAGAGGAAGAAACAGTGGTTCAGTAATTTATCTATGGTTGCCAAGGAGTGGAGGGATTTAAGCTTCAACCACCAGAGATCAGAACCCTTACTTTTGTGTGTGTGGGTGTGTGGGTGTGGTGGCAATCAAATCCAGGGCCTTAAGCACTAGCTAAGACATGCTTTACTACTGAGCCCAGCCCAGAGCCCTTACTTTTAACCATGATGCTGTATTACACCATTGGATGGATAAGGAAATAGAAATTG